ATGACTTATTATCCAGGTGAGAAACTAACTATTCGATCACCAATATGTGATAAATGCGATGTTTGGAGCTGCTGCTGTATGAGAGCAGCCGGTCTGCTTAAAAAGAAACACGTAAACAATGTTTTTATAATGTCTCTCACTGCTTTAACGTAGACACAGGTCCACTCTGCAAGTCTAATCTGTTATCTGTTAAATAATAACTCTAAATGTAATTACGAGAGCCAACAATTTAGCAATAAATAGCCACTGAAGATAGATAGCATTCACAAGCTAACTTGTCGATGGGCTGCTAAGGTTGGCTCATTAACTACATAGAAAGATATAGCCAATGTTAGCACGTCTGCTAAGTAGATAGCTACATCTAAATTGATAGATGGAAAGACATATGGGAAAGACATATAAAGCTAATGTTCGCCAGCCAGCTCGTTTGCTCGATAGCTATCGTTAGCTAGTTAGCTCGATAGCTATCGTTAGCTAGTTAGCTCGTTAGCTATCGTTCCTAACATTTGCTAGGTAAACGTCACACTGACAGGTTAAGTGAGTTAACCTGTTTTTAAAAATGTCAGCACTGTGGACCTTTGTGTTTTCTTCTGGCAGTGAGAGTTATTACAAACTGTCCACATGAGCTTTAGTCTGCTGTCCAACCGATAATGTGTTTTGGTATTTTTAGCTTTGGTACTTTTCGCACCTCAGATGTAAGATTTTGGGCCAATAGGCACTTTCACACGTAGAACTTTTCCCAGGAAAAGTTCCGGGAACAATTCCTGGGAAAAGTACTTGGTGTGAAAGCGCCTATTGTCATTTGTCATCCTGCCAGTCACTAACAGAGGAAGGCTGCTGTGGTTCCATGTCGCTGTGAATGACCCCAAATAACATCTATTCACTACAATGCTGCTGGTGCAAAACCAGAAGAACTAACACAACTGGACGTGGGAAAATGGGCGGGCTACAAAAGGTGAATATTAAAAAACAACCCATTATAAAATGACATGTAAGTACATTTTTAATAAAGTCCTTAGAAAAGCCCACAAAATGTACAAATTAAAAAAAAATTGAATAACAAAAAGCAGGTTTAAAACACCATAATGCCTGGTGAGATATGTATAATAGTTTCAGGCTTTTAAAAATAAAGTTGTTTTTTTTTAAATAAATACCACAAATGCATAATTCAACAAGCCTGCTATTCAGTGTGCGGCGTGTGTTAGTGTCAGGGCCCCTGAATGTCAGGAAATGTATATAATGGATGAGTGTTTACCCTTACACCCCCACTCCATGTCTCCCCAGCGAGAGGATGGCATGACGCAGGGTCACTGCCACTGCTCCAGATAGTGGGCTGTAACTGAATTACCTAATTCAATCTCCTGAAACAAGATCAGGCTTACTTCAGAAAAAGACTCACTCCACACTTTTAGCTTGATTGCAAAAACAATTATGGTGATGTGGACTTTCTGTTCTCAATGCAGGGCCCGTTGGTTGCTTTACTTGAGTACAATTAGAAATACTGCGGTCTTAAAATACTCCGTTACAAGTAAAAGTCATGATTTGAAAACGTAGAAATACAGAAGTTTAATCAGCTCAATGTACAAAGTGTAAGTAAAAGTATTATCATTCTGCTTTTATCAACAAGAAAGGCCTTTTGTTATGGTTTAAATGCTGTAGTTGCTCAATATATAACTCATTTACCGGGTAGATTACTAGTATAATATCATATATTGTGGGTTTTCTCTATACGTACAAAGTAACTGAGTGTTTAATTAATGTAGTGGGGTATACAAGAACCATATTTTCATCCAAAATGTTGTGGAGTAGAAGTATATGTAAATGGAAGTACTCAAGTAAAGTACAAGTATGTCAAAATTGTACCATACTAGTGTACGTGTGCTTGAGAAAATGAGAATGATTCCTCCATTTGAGTTAAAAAAGTCTTATATAAATTGGATTTTCTTTATTACAACGACCTGGAAGTATCTGTCTCTCTCTTGTCAGCGCTTGGAGATAAGATGTTCAGATTCCCTATATACCATTTGAGAGATTAAAACATATTTCTAAAATAAAATAAATCCTAAAACATCCGCTCCGTCCCTCTCGTTGTTTCCTCTGGCCTCCGCTGCTCCAGCTGCTCACATCTTTGAGAACAGGAGGAGCGGAGTACTGCTACAGGAGCAGTTGTTGCTTGGCAACCTTAAAACTGCAGGTGATGTGGGATGTCTGTCTGCAGAGTATAGTGGTGGTGGCTGGGGGGGTTTCGGGTTAAAGAGAGGAGGTGAGTCTGAGCTAAAAGGGCTGCATTCATCTGAGGATAACCAGCTTGTCATGCTACTGCCTAACATTCTGTCTTAGTGTGTGTGGAGGCAAAAGCATGCGGAGCTACAGCTGCTACGATCAGTGGATTAAGCACATCTGAAATGACCAGGTTAGCTACGTTAGCTAGCTAGCTTACAGCAGATCTGCAGTGACATCAGAAGGAGTCATGTGATCACATTGTTCAAATAAGACCATCAAACATTTTAGATAAGTTTCAACAACAGAGACAGTTGTTCAGCTTTACCATCCTGAACGTCACCAAGCGCTCCGTCCCAGCTGTGTGCGTCACTCTTTAGTGTCCCCTGGTCTCCCAGCTGTGTGCGTCACTCTTTAGTGTCCCCTGGTCTCCCAGCTGTGTGCGTCACTCTTTAGTGTCCCCTGGTCTCCCAGCTGTGTGCGTCACTCTTTAGTGTCCCCTGGTCTCCCAGCTGTGTGCGCCACTCTTTAGTGTCCCCTGGTCTCCCAGCTGTGTGCGTCACTTTTTAGTGTCCCCTGGTCTCCCAGCTGTGTGCGTCACTCTTTAGTGTCCCCTGGTCTCCCAGCTGTGTGCGTCACTCTTTAGTGTCCCCTGGTTTCCCAGCTGTGTGCGTCACTTTGTAGTGTCCCCTGGTCTCCCAGCTGTGTGCGTCACTCTTTAGTGTCCCCTGGTCTCCCAGCTGTGTGCGTCACTCTTTAGTGTCCCCTGGTCTCCCAGCTGTGTGCGTCACTCTTTAGTGTCCCCTGGTTTCCCAGCTGTGTGCGTCACTCTTTAGTGTCCCCTGGTTTCCCAGCTGTGTGCGTCACTTTGTAGTGTCCCCTGGTCTCCCAGCTGTGTGCGTCACTCTTTAGTGTCCCCTGGTCTCCCAGCTGTGTGCGTCACTCTTTAGTGTCCCCTGGTCTCCCAGCTGTGTGTTTCACTTTTTTGTTTTGGTTGATGCAGCTTTTACTAAACGATGCACATGTTTCCTGAAGTTGCTGAAGATGTCTCTTCATCTGAATGTGTTTTGGCAATTTTTTTATTACATTTTATGCACCGTTGTTGAAGCGCGTTTCTCCCGATGGACATTGTAGTTGCTTGCTCTTTTATAAAGCATTTATTACGCTGTAAAACATTGGCTACAACAAGTGCTACTATTTATTTGTCAACATTTCCCAGAAAAAAAGTGTTTTCAGCCTTTCAAATATGCAGAGTTACTGTTTTTGTTTTTAACTCACAACAACG